ATTGCAGCCTACGTTGACGCATATATAATAAATGATCGAAATAATTTTCAGTTCGATGATTATTGCATCATCGGTCATCATTATTTCACCGAATTTCGTAAGTACAATTTAACCCCAAAATTATACAGTATTGCATACTTTGAATCTTTTCTATCCGAACAATATGATAAATCCCTTTATTCGAGCGTGTAGCAATTAATGGAGGAAGGGCAGTAAGTCAATCATTAGTACCAGGCGATAGTTCAAAATTTTACCAAGTACGTATAAAAAGTCACGATTCACCCGATGGTCCAAAAAATATTCCATGGCTCCTAATAGAAGCGAAGGTTTGTCTCTCTCACCTTTCTTTTTTTAATATACTGCATATAAGTTTTTTTCATATATTTTTCGAAAAAATGCAAAACTTCATAGTACTGGGAAGGAAAGGGCGCATTCTCGGATATCAGTTATGTGCTTCGAATCGGTACTGAAGGTGGAAACCCACCCAGTTCTGCTATATGTATGTTTTCTCTTTATACATATGTTTTACTGTATATCTTTGTCAGCGTTAATCAAATTATTTACATTTCAGGCGGAAAGAATTATAAACAAGGGGACATTATAAATACCCGTTTTTCTACTCAAAATTGGTTCTACAAGAAGCAAGACACATAAAAAAATGCCTTTTTTATTATTATTATTTTCTCTATTAATTATTTTAGAGTTCATACCCGAGATTAGTAATACGATGCGATTTCATTATTGTCTGATATATTATATAAAATCATGAGCAAGAACTGTTTTATCAGGATGTTTGAAATAACATTTTTAAGAGGAATCTTTTCATTATTATTATTAAGCATATTTATGAGAATTTTTTTACTAGGATTAATCGTTGGTGATAAATAAAAAACTTTTCTAGAGCTTAAAATCTTACTAAACATGACATTGGGACTGAGTTCCAGGGTCCAAATGATCCCAATCGGTCCCAGCAAATTCTTGTACTTTTCAATAGAATTAATTTTTAAAGATATTGATCAAATATACTTGAAATTATTTTGAATAGAATTATTTACTGTATTGAAAAGAGACCGTTGACTCTTCTAAATTTAGGATGTTAAAAATTTTTGTGATTGTTAGATAGAATTAACGAATCATAATTTATAGTGCCAAGGAAACCCTTCCAGTAAGGAATTCGAAAATTTTTCTATGAAAAAATCACCAAAAAAATACAAAAAGATAATTCTTGTACATGTACAGTACTGGAAATTATTTGATCAATTAAATTTTATAATACATTATGTTTTAAAAATACAATGGAAACAGGTAAAACAATTATTTCGAATAACAATATATCTCTTGTTACTGTACAATATTCAGTAAATATTTTCGGTTACTTAAAAAATTAGCATCGATATTATTATAAGTTTGTAAAAATTCTTTTATTCATGGATGATATTTGATTTGAGATACAATATAAAAAAGTTGTTATAAATTATAATACTGTAATGATGAATTTAGATGTTTGAATATAAATACATTTTTAATATTACGCATAAGTGTAACGCTATACAGTATTATATTAAAATAAAAAGGTTACATTTAAAATTTATAAGTCCTACTGTATAACAATTTTAATTATTGATTTCTCAAAAATATTTATATACGTATTTGATTATATTTTAACTTTATTAAAATGAAAAATGATATAATATTAAAATATTTTCTAAATCATTATTTGATTTTCTCGTGATCTACTAAAATTTCAGAATATTTTTCCTTTATGATACGCAAGCCTCGAGAAATTTCAGCAATCCTAGAATAATTTGTGGAAAGTTTCTCACCCATAACTATTGCCTGCTCGAATAATTGTTTGTCGAAACAACCTTGGGTACTTTCTTTCATCAACCGAGCCGAGTTTAATAAGTCATAAAATAAAATCCAAGAGGGTTTTTCTTCGTTTTGTTTGATGTCATTTCGTTCAACCCCTTTTCCTTTATTCTTTATTTCACTATTTTTATTATCAAAATTAATCCCATAACTCATTTCAATTTTATCAAGAGATTTGTCTTCATTATCGAATTCACTTAGGATTTTGAATGCATTTTCATCGTCAAATTTGTAAATTAATGGTTCTTTAGGATCAAGCTTTTCAAGTTCATCTAAGCAATACTCATTATCAGAGTTATCTTCACTATCATCAAGGCAATACTCATCATCAGAATTATCTTCACCATCATCTAGGCAATTCTCATTATCCGAGCTATAGTCCCTATCAAT